TAGTCATCTAGTAAAATGTCAAACAGATGATGTTGGGCAGTTTTGCTTAATTGGCTCAAGCAAACCGGCTTTCCCCAACCAAGGTCATATTTTTCGTTTTCCAACATTGCTGTGAGGTCACAGGAGAATGTGCGCACTCTGAGATCCGGGGCACTTGTGCTCCGGCTGGCTTTGAGGCTGTGTTGAGCACACCCCTCTGGAGAACGCAGACTCCAAGCGACAGAGCTTCACTTGAGGCCGGAGGAGGCTCCCTAGATGGACGAGAAATTGGTTTGAAATCCCACCGAGCAGAAAGAGAATGCAAAGTGACGTCGTACAACATTACGGTGGAGAACAAGCAAGGTGCTGACGTGGGGTGCGGCCCCGGGAGGGCCCCGCCTTTGGGAGCTGATCCCCGTGCATTTAGTAGAGCACGATGCGCCCTCGCACACGCACACGCACACGCACACGCAGTGTCGTTCGTCCACTGACCAAATATCCACTGAGCACCTGCCACGAGCCAGGAACCGTGCTGGTAGCTGCGACCCGGCCGCGCAGTCTGGACAGGTCCCTGCCGGGTGGCGCTGACATTCCGGTGTGCGACCGGAGTACGTGAGGGGCCCGCGCACAGACCAGAAGCCTTCGGAAAGCATTCACGCGTTCTGAAGACAAACAGTCGGCTAATGTGACTGTCGGGGACGGAAAGCAGCGTGACACCCGACAGTCAGAGGAGGCTGTGGTGGGGGGGAGGTGACTTCAAGCTGAGAGCCGAGTGGTGAAGCACCAGCGAGGGGGACTGCGGGAGAGCGCGGCAGACAGCGCTCAGGGAGGGCTCCGCGGTCCCGCGGGTTTGAGAAGTCCCCGTGGCTTGAGCAGAGCAGTGGAAACGAGGTCTGCGGGGCTGGCAGGGGTGGAACCCGCAGGGCTTCGTGCGTCAGGGGCGGGGTGTGGCCTGTATTCCAAGAAGGGGTTTCTCAGCCTCAGTGCTGTGCGCCTTCGGGCTGGACAATCCCTTCTGCGAGGGGCTGTCCCGGGCGCTGTCCCCAGTTGAGCAGCGTCCCTGGCCTCTGCGTGTGAGGTGCAGTATTGCCTTCATCCCCCACAGCCCGTTACGACAACCCAAATTGTCCCTAGATGTCGCCAAATGTCCCCTGGGCACCCAGGCCAAGAGCCATCACTCCGAGAGGAGGGGAAGGCCGCGGCGGGGGCTGCTGAGAGGGGCTCTGGGGCCTGGACCCTCCTTCACCGGCTGGCCTGCTGCCTCCTTTCTGTTCAGGCCCCTGGCTTCCCACCAGAGCGTGCTCGCCCAGAGGCTGCCTGGTGGGCTTCTTCTTGTCATACGTGCCTCTGCTCATACGCTCTTCCCGAACCAGCCCGTCCAGGCCAACTCCCCAGCCCCAGCCTCGCTCCCCGCCGCCCTGCTTGGTGACAGCCTCGTCGTTCCTGAGCTCCCTGGCGCCATCCGCCGTCTGCTGGGAGGAGAGCCCCGCAAGTGCAGGCATCTTGTCTACAACCTTAGACCCCTGAACCCGCGTCCCGACCCGGACCTGCGTGTCCCCGCTGCCCAGTAAACGATGTTCCCTACTGAGTAAGACTGGCCCTGCCTCTAGCCCACTTGGTGACAGATGCTGCGGCTGCCCCACCCTTCCCAGGCAGGCCAGGTGGCCCCTACAGCCAGTCCAAGCCCAGGTGGGGCGGGAGCAGCCTCGGCAGTGACGGAAGGGCGTTGTGCGCGCCAGCGTCCTTGGCCTGGCGGGGGACAGCGCTGGGGTGTGCTCCTCGCAGCAGGACTGGGCCTCAGCTGTCCCCAGCGCAGCCTGTCACGCGCACGCCTGTGTGGCTGCCCGTCCTCCCGCCTCACTTCTCCCACCCCTCCTGGCGTCGCCACCCGTGTCAGTTTGCTAGCGCTGCTGTAGCAAGCCTGGTGGCCCAACACGACAGAAATTTATTCTCTCACGGTCCTGGAGGTCAGAAGTCCAAAGGCAGGGTGTCGGCCGGGCCACGCTGCCTCTGCAGGCTCCGGGAGACTCCGTTCCTTCCCTCTCGCAGCTCCCGGTGGCTGTCGGCCATCTGCGGCATTTCTTGTCTTGCGGCCGCCTCACTCTAATCTCTGTCCCTGCGTCTTCTCCTCCTGTGTCTGTTATAAGGACATTGGTCATTGTCCTTAGGGCCCACCCAGGTGATCTGGGATGATCTCAAGATCCTAATTACACCTGCAAAGATGCTTTTTCCAAATGAGGCAACATTCACAGGTTCCAGGGATTCGGACGTGGACACAGCTTTTGAGGGTGGGGGACAACCTGCCCTCATACAGTGTTTGCAATCAAATCTCAGGGTTGGCTTCTGGGGGATCCAGGCCAGAGGTGGGTGACCTCAGCAAGCCACATGCCCCAGTCTGAGCCTGACGTCCTCATTTCCACAGCAAGCAGACGGGCTGGATGGTTTCCTGGTCTCTTTGGTGATGGGGTTTTCAGTAGCTTCTTGGCCAAGGTGATGGTGGTGGGAGGTCGTCGAGACGTGGGATCCCACCAGGTGGCAGCAAGGGGCTGACACCCAGTGGATCTGTGGCACCCAGGGAGAATTCCCACTGCTCAGAGGCGTGTGACCAGGTGGCGCTGTGGTGGGATGATTCCGACCATCTGGAGTGCCAGGGAAATGCAATTACCGTTTGTTTTTAAATACAAAGGAAGTGTTTAAAGGCAAAACACCCCAACAGGGACGTCTGTACTTCTGGGCGCTTGGCTGGGAGCACGGGCCTGTTTGCGTGGTCCTGCGTGAGGCAGGGAGGCGGTCCACAGGGGCACCCCCCGAACGTGGAGTGCGAAGCCCTGGGGAGGACGGGCTCTCACGCGGCTGCCTGTCCCCCACCCCCGCCAGCTCAGCGGCCTGCTGCAGGTGTGCATTCGCACGGGAGCCGAGACCCAGGCCAAGTTCTCCTCCGTGGAGCTGCTGCGGGTGTGTATTGCGGTAAGAAATGAGTGTCCAAGAGGAGGGAGAAGTTACCCCTGGCGGGACTTAGGCAAGTGTTAGCTCCTTTTACGTGTGGGAGGGATTGTTTTGAAAGCCCAAATCTGACCAGTCACTCCTTTTCTTAAAACCCTTATTTACAATACAATTTAAAGTCCTTGATGTTGAATGTGAGGTTCTTTAAAAAAAACAACAAAATTCCTTAAGGGCAGTTTCCATACACAGAAAAAGGCAATTCAGTGGCTTAATTTGGTTTCTAAACATTAATATTTGAGTGAGTAACGTTGTAAATTAAAAAAATAGTCTAAATCTTCTTTAAAAACTTTTATATTCAACTTATAAATCTCACTATTCTTTGAACAGAAGTCTAGCCAATTCAAGTAATGGCTTTTAAGGGCCTTTGAATAGTGTTTGGTCCCATTTACAAACTTAATTAAACACTTTAAAACATTTTAAACTGCATTTTAAAATTTAATATATTCAATTTCCTTTTTAAGTACCACAATGATCTGATTTAACAAACAACTTTTTCTGAGTTTATATAAATCTATTAGGTTAAACTTATAGTGAGCTTTAAGTTCTCATGACAGTTCCAATGCCACATGTAATCAGTAAGCTTTTAACTTAAAATCAGGTTTCAATCAATTTTTAAATTATACATTTTAAATTAGAATCACAAGCCCAGACTCTATTAATATTGTGAATACTTGAAACACCAAGTACTCAGATTCCTTAACTAAAAATATTACTGTTACAGTTTTGCTTCTCTTAAATATTTTTGTTCTTAATCCTAAATCTTCTAGGGGTTAAAAATACTCTCTGAGAATACAATTATTTTCTCCCCTAACGGAGGTTGCTTATTAACCAGAGACTCGAGCCGGTCGGCCACCCCGACGGGCACACGGGGTCCCTGTGTCCCAGCTGTCAACGGCGACTTCGCGACTCAAGAGCAGGGCTTGGTCCTGTCAAGAAGCCGAGCTGCTCTCTCCTTAGTCAGACTTTGCATTTCTTGGACTCTTGGGAAACTTAAATGTCTTTTCTGCGTAACTCTAAAGAGACCCCTCAAGGCACCATCCTGCATTCTTGTCGTCTTTCTGCTCTAGCACCACGATGACTCTTGAGAATATTGAAATTATATTGGGTTGAATTCTGCAAATCTCAAGCCTCTGTGTGGCCCTGTCACCCAGCTTCAAGGCCGCACTGCTGACCCCTGGCCAGGTCCACGAGGCCAAGCTGTCCTTGCTTGTCCCTCTAGGTCATCCATCCCTCTATTCATTGAGCTCCAGCCATGTGATTGTTCTTTCTAGTCCTCAAGTGGCCCAAGCTCGCTCTGGCCTCAGGGCCTTTGCACTTGCCATCCTCCCTTTCCTGGAAGGCTCTGGACTGGCATCATCCCCGCATGTCAGGTCCCAGCTCCCACGTCACACCCTCACAGATGCCTTCTTCAGCCCTCAAGCATCACGCTTTCTGCCTCTTGCCCCTGCCCACCGCACAAATCATATCCTATATTGTATTACAATACTCTGTTTCACTGTCTTCATTTCTGAGCTTTTTCTTGTTTATCATCTGACATACCCACTGGAATGTGAGTTCTTTGAGCTCTCGGTCCTTGTTGGTCTAGTTCACCGCCGTGAACGCCAACACCTAAAACTGTGAATGAATGAATGAATGAATGGGAAGACAAATGACTATTAACCTGTGCTTGGTTATTCTCCTCTTCAGACCTGTGTTCCCGAATGCACTGATCCCCTCAAAGTGGGGGCCTGTCCCAAGGGCTGGCCCAGCTGTGGGGAGATAACCTTCAGCGACTATCAGATGAGATACAGAGACAGCACCCCCCTTGTTCTCCAGGGGCTGAACTTGAACATACAAAGCGGGCAGACAGTTGGGATTGTCGGAAGGACGGGTTCTGGTGAGGACAAGCTCTGCATTTGTTTCTTTCAGGTTGTTTTTTTGAATTTCCCCTGGACGCGCCGGTTACGCCACACTGGGAGTGACGTGTGTGTGTCGGGTGGGCTTTATCTTCTCTCAAGTCTCTTTGCCGTAAAGTAGCATTCGGGTCGAACAGATGTGCAGAGATGGAGCAAACACACGCCAGTCTTTGCATTAATTAAATGAGAATCACGCTGGCGAAACAAGGCGCAGAGGATGGGCTGTGTGCTCAGGCCCCTGCAGGGGCGACAGGTTAGCTGCATTAGGGCAGCCCGTCCCCCTGCCCCCAGAAATTTCTATCTGCGCAGTCACGCGCACAGAGACATGTGCATTGCGTTGAAACTTCCCTTTATTGAACACTTGGATATCACGGAAGTACAAACTGCTGTTTGGTTTGTTCTTGCTTTCACTGTTCCCAGGAAAGCCGTCGTTAGGAATGGCCTTGTTCCGCCTGGTGGAGCCAGCCAGCGGCAGGATCTTCACTGATGAGGTGGACATCTGCACCATCGGCTTGGAAGACCTCAGAACCAAGCTGACTGTGATCCCCCAGGATCCTGTCCTGTTTGTAGGTACAGTAAGGTAGCTGTTTTTGATCATTGTGCATTCCTATTTTTGGAAGGTGAAATCAGACTGACCAAGAACTCTGTGATGTCCCCAGGACGTGGCAGGCCCGGGGCTGTTCTCCTGAGGGAAGCAGCTTCCCTAGGTGCTCACAAGCACTGCCGGCGCCTGTTTCTGGGTCAAACCTTGGGAGGGCTTGGGATTACCTGTATTTAATAAGCACATTATTAATAATTAAGTAGGCAAGATACTTATATACATAGGCTGAGCAGATATTCTGGTGGCTCTGGACAGCCTCCTTCATGACTGTGTCTCAGATTCCAACAGGTTTGGCAGTGGCCACTCTGAAAATTGCCCCAGTTTGCACAAGCTATCCCTTGGGAAGGGCATTAATTTATTCGCATTATGGAGTGAACAGAAGCCGTTTCAAGTACAAGAACAGTAGGGTTGCAACTTCTATGGGGCCCGAGATCCGACGTCAGGGCCTAAGGGGAAAGCCACGGTCCCTCCATTAGTGCAGTGCAGCGGCCGTGCCACTCACGGAAGGAACATCTGTCCTGTGGAGGCCAGATGAAGTCGGGGAAGAACTGTGTTTACTGGAGTTCGCGGGATGAAAAATACATCTTGCCTCGTGACTCATTGGACGCACACCCTGCACCTGAGGTGCGCAGCCCCTGCCCGGCCCTGGAGCTGCGCGCTCCCCGTGCCCCCGGGGGCCGAGCGAATGCAGAGGCGGGTTGAGTTGCTCGCCCCCCACCTCTGGCTGCCAAGGCTTTGTGGGTCGGGTCAAACCACTCTGCTGCGCCGGGCTCTGGGAGGCCCTGCTGTGCCTTTCTCAGCACCTAGCTCAGTGCTGCCTCTTGGCAGGGTTTCCCACGTCCCCGCTCGCCTCAGTGGTCCTGCTCCATCACAGAGATGTGGGTCTTCGGTCTCCTGGTCGGTATTTTACGGACCGCGGTTCAGGCTGAGCACGGCCCTCGGAGCGCAGGGTCAGCGTGTGCCGCCTCCAGCTCTGCCCAGCGCGCTGCAGAGAACCTGCCGCATCCAGCCTCCTGTCCTCGGCGACGCAGCTGCCTCTCCTCTCCTTCGTTGCAGGTACAACTTGGATCCTTTCGAAAGTCACCCCGACGAGATGCTCTGGCAGGTTCTGGAGAGAACGTTCATGAGAGACACAGTAAGTCCTGGGCTGTTCGGACGAGCATTTCCCAGCACCACTGGCCTAGGTTTGGGTTTGACGGGTACCTGGGCCAGGCTTGGCCAGGCTTACTTGTGGGCACCACAAAAGTCAGTGGAGTGCAATTGCTGGCTGCTGTTCATTAAAGCATCAGTAGGGCTGTGCCACGATCCCATCAGGACGCTACATGCATTACCCTCTGAGATTGGCACTCTTACCCCGATTTTGAAGATGCAGAAATGAAAGCTAAGGGAAGTAACATGTCCAGGCTCGTGTGTAGCAGCATGGAGACTCGAACCCAAGCTCATCTGGTTCTAGAGCAGACGGAATGTGCTACTCCTCTGCCGATGCCTCCTGTGCTTCTCAGACAGACAAACCACAGAAAGACGAGGGGGTGCGGGATGTTCTGGGAATGGCAAGTATGTCTGGTTTAAGGGACTGAATCATCTGTGAGAGGGGACCCTGTCCTGTAAGAGCTGCGCCCGGCCGGGGTCAGCAGAGGAGCATGCCACCTCTGCAGCCGCGGGGGGTGCTTTTCCAGGATCCGGAAGGACGGTGAACATCTCCCAAAGCCACTTTGATCCGGACCTGTCCTGCCCTTCCCTGATGCCCAGGAAACTTCCCCTCCCATCTCTAGTTTTTCCTCGGAAATAGCGAGCCTGCAAGTCGTTTCTGCTGTTTGTGTGTTCTCTGGAACCGCGTGTGCAGCGCTTGTTCTCGTTTGGTGAGTTGTCCGCGAGGTCCTGTGAACCACGCTGCGATTTTCAATCGGTGACGTCTGCCTGCTCCCCGGTCTTTCCCTGGTGCCTGTTTGCAAATTGCAGTGATTGTTGTTTCACACTTTCTTTTCCACAGTAAAATAAAGCAAGCTGATGAATGCTAGAGAGGGGGGCAATCAATACAGATGATGTAGGACAATTTTGTAGATCATCAGCACAAATGTGGCATTTTCTGTGTTTTATAGATAATGAAGCTCCCAGAAAAATTACAGGCAGAAGTCATGGAAAATGGAGAAAACTTCTCAGTGGGGGAACGTCAGCTGCTTTGTATGGCCCGAGCGCTTCTCCGTAATTCAAAAGTAAGAAAACAGCACGGAAAATGGATTGGTCAAATTTTGGATATTTCCTGTGGCGCCGCTCAATCCAGGAGGCAGAGCTGCGCGTTTGTCTTTCAGCAAAGAGAGAGCAATTGAGCCATTTAAAAACCAATCACTTTTTCTTAAGACAAAGTTGTGAGGGATAAAAATTGAAAAATAACAGCCATTTACAGCAGTAGCACCTTCCTCCCATGGGCTTCCCCCTGGGAGGTCTTGCTTAGGTATTCTTTCTGCTCTCCTAAGTGGTTTGAGTTTGAAAAATCTGCCTCTCATCTTTTTCCCTCTGTCCCCGAACAATTCCCCGTCTTGATAAACAATACCCAGGACAGCCGAGGCCATCAGAATGGCAGGGTATGTGAAACGTAAAATTCAAAGTTATTTTTCTTAATGACTTAGCCACCCTTGCTTACTGATTTCCGGGAAGGGATTACTGTTGCTTTAGAAATCCCGTTCTCTGAATCCTCACCGAAGGTGCAGCCCGTTATGCGCTAACGTCAGGGGACAGGGAATCGGCATGTACTCGGTGCCCACTGTGGCACTTGTCGCTGCTAAGTGGTTCATGTGCCATCTGCATGTCATGCTCATACTAAGGCACGACCCCCTTTCACATATGGCGGACACAGCCTCGGGGAGGTTAAGTAACGTGGCCAAGGTCAGCAGAGCAGGGGGCTGTGTTAGTTCATTCTGTGTTGCCGTAAAGGGAATACCCAAGGCTGGGTAATTTGTAAAGAAAAGAATTTTATTTGGCTCATGGTTCTGCAGATGGTACAAGAAGCTTCACACCACATCTGCTTCTGGTGAGGGTTTTAGGAGCTTCCAGTCCGGTTGGCAGGTGAAGAGGGAGCAGGTGTCACGTGGCGAGAGAAGCAGCAAGAGAGGGACGCGGTGGTGCCAGGCTCCTTTAAACAGCAGCTTTCGCGTGAGCTGACAAAGGGAGGGCTCACGCAGTACCGCAAGGGTGGCGCCAAGCCATTCCGGGGGCACCGACCTCCGTGACCCAAACACCCCCACCTCCAACACTGGGGATCCCATTTCAACATGAGATCTGGAGGGGCCAAACCTCCAAACCTCCAGGCTAAGTTCAAGTGTTCTGATTCGCAAAATCAAATCAGCCCTGTGACGGGCAGAATAATATGCTCCCCAACCTGCCCTGTGCCAGATGTCCACGTCCTTCCTGATACCAGGACCCGTGAACGCCTTACCTCACCTGGCAGCATGGCGATGGGACTCTGCAGATGTGGTTAAGGATCTGGAGACGGGGGCCTGTCCTTGGATCTGGGCGAGCCTAGCGTATCCACCTGGGTCTTTACGAGAAGGAGGCCGAAGGGTCGGAGAGAAAGAAGGGGATGTGACGCCACGAAGGGGCCATGGGCCGAGGAAGGCAGGTGGCCTCTGGAGAAGGCAAGGAACCGCTTCTTCCCTAGAGCCTGCAAAAGGAACGCAGCCCTGACAACGCCTGGATTTTAGGACTTCTGACCTAGAACTGTAAAATCATAAACTTGCATTGTTAAGTCTCTGTTTGTGGTAATTTGTTACCGCGGCAATAGGAAATGAATATAAGTTTTGTTATCATGCCCCATGCCAACTCACGTTAGCACCGCGGATACAGCCTGTGCAGTTTCTTCCTACCAGTTTGTAGGGTTAGAACAGCCCACTTACAAAGAGGAGTAAAGAATATGCAACCACGTTCCTCCAGCAAATTCCTCTGAGAAAGATGAGGTGGTGTGATGTGACTTTTATTTTGCTCTTGTTTTTCTAACTTTTTGAGATGAATGCTTAGCTCCTTAACTTTCAGCTCTTCCTCCTCCTCCTCCTCCTCCTTCTCCTTCTCTTCCTCCTCCTCCTCCTCTTCTCTCAATAAATAGAACCGGTAGTACCCTCTTGGCATAGCTTTTGTTTGGTGTGAATCCCACAACATTCCTTCCTCGACAGATCGTTCTCCTCGACGAAGCCACCGCCTCCATGGACTCCAGGACTGACGCGCTTGTTCAGAGCACCGTCAAGGATGCCTTCAAGGGCTGCACGGTGCTGACCATCGTCCACCGCCTGAACACGGTCCTCAACTGCCACCGAGTCCTGGTCATGGAGAGTGGGAAGGTGCGGGAAGCTGCCGTGGGCATTGCCTCCCCGAGGCTTCAGTGGTCTGGGACGCACGCTGGGTGGATCTTTTCTGACAATTTCAGTTCTTCCTCTCTGACTTACAGGTGATCGAGTTTGACAAACCCGAGGTCCTTGCTGAGAAGCCAGATTCGGCATTTGCCGTGCTGCTAGCAGCAGAAGCGGGACTGTAAAGGTCCCCGAGGCCGGCTTTGGAGGGGGAGGAGGCCGTGTGGGATGGGCGGGCTGAGTCGCAGGAGGGGCTGTCATCCCAGCAGGCAACCCTCCCCCGGGCCCTCCCTCCTCTGGGGTCCAGGCTGAGCTGGGCCGAGGCTGCGTCGCCTGCCTCCCCCCGGCCCCGGCCCGCGCCACCTCGCCTTGCTTGGTGGGCCTGGTTGGTTCTGGGTGAACAGAGGCCGACGAAGCTCGTGGATTAAAAACCTGCCCTTCCCCTTCTGAAACCCCAAGGGTCCCTCCTGTGTCCCAACCAATGCCACCTCAGCGCTGGGAACGGAAACACTGTAACTCGCAGCCAGAAACCTGTCAAAGGAAGCAGAATGCCCAAGGATGGAGTTTGCAGAGGTTTCCTTGCCTGTTAGAAGGGAAAAGAGCAGAATTTTCTTCCTGTTTAACTCGCACCCACTTCTGTCTTGACTGCATGACAAGTGGTAACTACACAGATCCGTGGTAGGAAAGACTCATTACCGAGTTTGGCCAAAGCATTTTTTTAAAATCATATCGTATGTTCCAATGGACCTATTAGAATAGCCAGGAAAACAAAATGCTGGAGTTTCTCTATAAATGACATTTTTGTATCTTCTTTACTGATCATTAAAATGCAATAGAAAATTAAACTACCTGAAGTGTGGCCTTGCGATCATTTTACTGACGGCATTCCGACCTCCGTGCCGTTTCCGCTCAGAGACCCTCGCCACCTTCTCCCTCGACTCATGGTAAACGTTCCCGATCGCTCGCCAAACGCAAGGCTTTCTCCCAACCCCTAGCTCGGCTCTGGCAGATGCAGTAAGGTGTATTCCCAGGAGCCCAGGAGTGAGTGCTGCTAATTCATGGTGACATTTGAGAAAAAACAAAAAAACTAGACAGGCCGTGGCCTCTTGCGCCGTGTCTGCCAGGGGCGCGCTGGCACTGCTGGCTGTTTCCATTCCCCAGGATCCAAGCCCCGCATGTTTCCAGCGAGGCGTCCTCCCTTACTTTCCGGCTCGAGACAGAGCTCAGGGCAGCGTGGTCAGTGATGCTTCCGTCCCACGTCCCCCGCCTCACTCCCCTGCCCCCAGGTCCCCCGGGCATGGAGGCAGGCAGTGCCTGGCCCACAGGAGCGCTCAGGAAACACATGTGGCACGCAGGAATGACACCTCTGAGGAACTTGTTCAGACACAGCTGCAGAGCCTGGCGAGTCCCCTCCCAGGTGCCTTTGCATGTTAAGGGCTGAGATTTCTGGCAGACAAGTGACAGCCAGCATCTCAAGGGCTGGGCTCGTGGGGTTTGCTGCCGACCCACCATTCTCCAGCTCTCCTCCGGCTGGGTCTGGGCAGGTGTCTTCCGGACCAGAGGCGAGGCAAGCACACCTGGCCCTGGGTGGAGCTCCAGGCTGGCAAGTGTTAAAGCCCTGGCTCGGGCAGCTTGGAGGTGATTCTGTCATCAGCAGAGGGTGCACACTGAGAACGTGGCTGCAAAGGACGTGAGCCAGCGAGATCCTTCCATGGGCAGCTCTGTGCCAAGTTTGCATCTCTTGGTGAAGGGGCACGGTGTGTCTTTACATGATCTGAAAAGGACCCCATGGTGTGTGACCCTGACCGGGCCTTCAAGCCCACATCCACACGGCTCCGGAGCAGCTGCTCAGGCAGAGCACAGTCACCACCTCGACAGTCATCGCCGATGACACCCCCGGTACGGCAGCCAGCTCTGGCAGTCCCTGCCAGCCGCGGGAATCCGTGCCAGCTGAGCAGTGCGTTGGGGGGGATGCTTCATTTTCTACCAACTGGGCACCAGCCAGCCGATCAGCCTGTGATTTCCAGGAGGTGTTTCAGTGAGGGCAGGGGTTAAATGACAGCAATCCCTGCTACTCATTCGGATGCACCGAAAGATGAATCACCTCCTACGACTCCTTTTCTGCCCACGCCCTCCTTGGCTTGCACCAGCAGAAGAGAATCCTGGCGTTGAGCCTGACATCTGCTGAGACCCGCAGCGTGCCAGGCACCATGATAAGCATTTTTCCATGAATTATTCCACTGAATCCTCATCTCACCCTGTGAGATGGAAACTGGGGTTGTTGAGGTTAGTCAGCTACACATGCACAGCAAGGAGGGGCAGGGACAGGATCTGCGCCCCCAACAGTGTGACTCTAAGGGCCCTGCACAATAGAGCCCCTCCTGCCCTTTCCCCGTGGCCTGTCGCAGGGACGGCAATGGCCGTCAGCATCGTACGTGAGGGAGCATGACGGCCGGAGGGTGGCTGGGTGCCCGTGCAATGGCGTGGAGCAGCGTCAGCAAACCCCTCCCCCCACTCCCACCCGGCTGTCCCTGCAGTGTCAGCCGGGGAGAGACTGTGTCGAACAATAATAACCATTTAGCAGCATTCCTCAAAACACAAGCGTAGTTAATCGAACCCTCACCATATCCCTGTGGGGTAGGTACCGGCTATGATCTGAATGTCTGTGCCCAAATTCATGTGCTGAAATTTAATCATCAATGTAATGGTGTTAAGAGGCAGGGCTTCAGGAGGTGATCAGGTCACCTGTAGTGTGGTTGGAGCCCTCACGAATGGGATTAGTGCCCTTATAAATAGGCTTGAGGGAGCTTGCTCACCCCTCCCGCCATGTGAGGACACGTAGAAGCCACCATCTACGAGCAGTGGGTCCTCACCAGACCCCAATCTGCTGGCAGCTTGATCTTGGGCTTCCAGCCTTCAGAACTGGGAGCAACAAATTTCCGTAGTTTATAAATTACCCAGTCATATATTTTTGTTATATCAGCCCAGACAGACTAAAACAGTACCAGTGTTATCCCTATATCACTGATGAGGAAACTGAGGCACTGAGGAAGTAATGTGACCAAGGTCACCCTGCTGGTGGGGTTTGCGTCCAGGCGGGCTGACTCTGACCATGCACTCTGAGACGCCGTGCGACGCGGCTGGAAACCTGAGCCGCTCCTGGTCGGGACGGGCAGTGTTCAGGACTGTAAGGTTGTAAAGGGTCAGAACAGATTCAGCTGTGCGTCAGCAACAAACGACCTCAGATCTCGGTGGTTTATTTCTTGTCCATGTGACACGTCCATCACAGGCGAGCTGTGGCTGTGCTTTTTATCCTCATCACTCTGTGACCCAGGCTGACAGAGAACATCACTGGTCTTGTGACAGAGAGCAGAGGGACACGGCAATCAGATGTGACACTGCCACTTCCACCCACGTTTCAGGGGCAAACGAGTCACATGGCCACTCCTGAGTTCCACAGGGTGGGTGGTGGCTGTGGTATGTACCCCACTTGCAGAGAGGGGCACCCCAAGGCACAAGGGCCAAGCTTATTCCTTCAGTAAGTTCTATCACCTTCCTTTTGGGAGGGGCAAATATTTTTGGACACTACTACAACCTACCATAGCCTGGGTTTGGGTCTTGGTTCTGCCACTGAGCAGCTGTGTGATCTGGGGAAAGTAGCTTGCCTTCTCTGAGCCTCTTCTCTCTACTCTGTAAAATTTGGGGGGTTTGAACTGAGTGCTAAGGTCTTTTATTGTCCTGATTTCCAATATAGGGGAAACAAAAAGGAAATACGAAAACAGTTTCTAGAGCACTAACAGTGTTCAGAGGGAATTATAGCACCCTCTAAATGTAATTAAACATTTTCTTAAATGTTACATTTGTAAAGTAAGTTGAATAAAGTTTAACTGAATTTGGAGCCTTCCCCTAGTGTCAACTTTGATGCTCATTAGGAAATAAGAAATTCTTTGAAATTTCATTCTCATCTATTTTGGTGCCCCGGCTTTGCTGTGCTCTGACTCCATTTGCCTATTGGGGGATCTTATGCTTGATGTTATGAATTAGAACCTCGTGAATATCCTTTGTTAGATGCCAACGGAGAACGGAATAAGGCACTTACAGGCACAGTCGTTATAAATGAGTAACAAATGGCCTGTGACATGTTTCGGAGTCAGTTGTGTCCTGAAGCTAACTCTGAGGATAGATGGTCTAGAGCAAGTGTGGCAAACTACAGCCCGCAGGCCAAACCCAACCTTACACCTGCTTTTGTAAATAAAGTTTTATTGGAATGCAGCCATGCTCGTTTGTTAATGCATTACCCAAGACAGTTCTCACATTCCAACAGCAGAGTGGAGGGATTGTGACCAAATGTATATCCTCAAAGCCCAAAATATTTACTATCTTGTCCCTTTACAGAAAAAGTTTGCCGGCTCCTGGTCTCAGGCATTGGCCTGTGCGAGGATTCCCGGGCGAGGGCAGTCTGCTGGCCGCGGGGCGGGTTCTGGAAGGCACTCCCTGCACGGCCCCGGCAGTCATCGTGCGGCCATGGAGCAGGTGGACAGGTGGGTGGAGCACAGGTGCTTGCTGGTTTAGCAACCCTGAAGTCACCCTACCCATCTCATTATGAGAGGACACACCTGGCTAATTGTTTAAGCGGCTTGAGTGGGGCTTGCTGCTACTTGCAGCCAAAAGCATCATAAATGATGCAGAAGACCTGTGCGGGCCTCCTTCCTGGGAAGAGCTGATCCTCCCTGAGGAAAAGAGAACCTCAGTCTCCACCCTGGGAGTTACACCCACTTCCTCCAACTTCCATGTGGCCCAAACCAGCACTAATTCACCTCCAAGCAAGGGGGAGTTTCCAATTCTCCTCTCTCCTCGAAGCTTCATGCCATTTATGAATACAATACTTCCTTCTCCTTCCCTTCCTACTGCCCGAGTTCAGAAAAACTCGGAAAGAGCTCACAGATTTTGTTCTTGCTATTCGAGTGAATGGATCTGAAATTGGCATGGCATTGTTGGTAAAAATGTGAAATGTTCTTTGCTAAGAGCTAGAATCACTCTGGTCAGTACAGCATGATTTAAAATGAATTGAAAAATGCTGGAGGTCAGTTTGGGGTCAGATGGACGATCAAAGAAATCACTTTTCTTTTGGCCCTGTGTAGGAGGTCACCTCTGGGTGAAGCCAAATCAAGCACTAACGGCTTCA